TTCCTATTCAACTGTCTACAGCATTCATATGCTTGGGAGAATTTATTTGTTTCTCCGGTTCGGTGATTGTGGTGTCTGCCAGAGTGCTTGGAGTCCTCAGGAAGCGCTAGGAGCATCCTTCAACGGAGGTACCCAGTCGGGGTGCCAGGCGATCCGTTACATTGGTGGCAAGCGGTGGGATTGCGTCCTAGTGTGAGGTAAAGCAGCTCGGAGACACAGTTCGTGGATTTACAAATTGAGGGCAACGCTAGTACCCGTACAGCGACCCTATCTACAAAAGAACTAACTTCAGCAGAGCAAGCATGGCGTATGACTACACTCAGGAGGAGTTTGACAGAGAGGTTAATGAGGTGCTGTCTACCTTTGGACCCAACCCCCAGAGAGAGCCGTGCAGCTCGCCAGGAAACTAGTAGGAGAATACCTGCAATCTCTAGTAGATTTGGCCAAAAAGGAGTCCCAGGGAGCCAAAGGTGTCGTCCTTCCTCCCCAGCGGCAGTGTGTACCCCAGGGAGCAGAAGGTGTCGTCCTTCCTCCCAAGCGGCAGTGTGAGTCCCAGGGAGCCAAAGGTGTAGTCCTTCCTCCTCAGCGGCAGTGTGTGTCCCAGGGAGCTGAAGGTCCCGTCCTTCCTCCCCGGCGGCAGTGTGTATCCCAGGGAGCTGAAGGTGTCGTCCTTCCTCACCAGCGGCAGTGTGTGTCCCAGGGAGCTGAAGGTGCCGTCCTTCCTCCCCAGCGGCAGTGTGTATCCCACGGAGCTGAAGGTGCCGTCCTTCCTCCCCAGCTGCAGTGTGTATCCCAGGGAGCTGAAGGTGTCGTCCTTCCTCCCCAGCGGCAGTGTGTACCCCAGGGAGCAGAAGGTGCCGTCCTTCCTCCCCAGCGGCAGTGTGCACAATAAGCAGTAATTTACAAACATTGCAAAAATATGAAACCCCGTGCTGCTTATATACCCCTGTACAAGACACTTTAGGTCTCATGTAGGTGTCTGACAGTTCTCGGTGTTTGTTCCATCAGAGCGGAGCAAACACAAGTCCTACATGTTTCCTTCGTGTGTGACGATTTGGTATTTCCTTAGTGCTGTCTTGGGAGAGTGGTGAGTGTAGGTTGAAGTGGCTTGGGTAGCGCAAACTCAGGTGTGGGAGTGATGCCCAAATTGGTGAGGAATTAGGTTGAATCAGCTCCCGGCAGCAAGGTTGTGATTTTTCCCTCCTTGAAGGCTACTAACTTAAAAGGGTGGCCCCACGTGTATCAAATGTCCTGTCTCAGCTGCTCCATGAAGGGCTCCCACTCCTAGCGTCTCTGCAGGGTTGTTGGTGATAGATGGTGGCGTCTTGATAAGGCATCTCGTGCTCTCTGCTGTACTGTTCCTTTGTGGAAAAGAAGTGAAAGCATATTATAATGTCCCGGGGCATAGACCCCTCCGTTCTCCGGGCGCGCAGCACGCAGTGTGCTCGGTCAATCACCCATTTTACTTTGGGGATATCAGACAAAAGGTGATTGAAATAACGACCATTTTGCCCATCAGGGAACCTTCATTAGACACTTCGGGTAAGCCCCTGATTCTGAGGTTGTTGCATCAGGACCTGTTCGCTAGGTCTTCCACCAGCATTTCTAGGTTTCCAAGCTGTCTGTCCATGGATTGCGAGTGGTTAACTGTTGCGTTATGGGCCTGTACTATAGTTTTTGCTGTGCGCATCCCCAGGGTCTGGATTTCGGATTTGACTTCCTGTGAGCTCCGTGATCTCTCGCTGGCTAGGTAATGTCTTACCTCCAGTAGTTTAGTGAGTATCTGTGAGGTTTCTCCTGCTTATGTTTCTGTTAGTTCATGGTCTGCTGTGAAGGCCGGTGACAGGGAGCCATGCGGATTCAATTGGAGGGCAACCTGTGTGGCAAAGAGATCAGCCACTGTTAAATTGGCCTCTATACCTTCACCTCTTTTTTTGCAAGCCGGTTTTGCACTAGAGCCCATGGTTGTGCTGCAAATGAGTGAGTTTGTGCAGTTCAATGCTGTTGGTAAGTGCTGGATTCTGTGTGGATATCTGCAGGGTATTTTTTTTTTTTTTTTTTTTAAAGGCAAAAAGAATAACTAAAATTCTAAGTTTTTCGGGGGAGCAGACGCATGTTGCAGCTGCTGCCGCATCTAACTTCACAAAGCTCCGATCCCTGCTGAGCAGAGGCTGTGACACGACTCATTGTGGCTACCAAGCGAAGGGGGACACCGGGACCTGCGAGAAGACACCACACAAGTGGATTCTTGCATTGGTACTGACCTCCCCAATGTTGCGGCCTACAAGCATGGCGGATCTGGGACAGACGACGCTCTCCCGCCACCTCAACATACTGCAAGGACAGCGGGGGTTATCCCAGTCCCCACCAATCCGACACACACTCTCGTATGGAATGCTGCTGCCAACTCTAGCTTAAACTCCGGATGCGCAAGGACCAGCAACATAGCGGACGCAACGCACCTAAAGGGGCCTGCACGCATACAATACCAACCCATGAGCCTGGGACAAACTGGAACAACTCCTCGCAATGCCCTTCTCGGCACACGGAGGTACGCCACGGGAGATGGGGAGGCAGAGAAGGAGAAGGCCTGTCCTGTGTAATGCATACCCTCCTTCCCCAGCAACGGTCACTGACCCGCCACCAGGTCCGAGGGTCACAAGGAGATTACCTCTGCAGCATTGACCACACCGCCGGAAGCTGGACTGCCGCTGGTGGCGGCAGAACACCGGGGCTTTACGTGTTGCCATGTAAAAAAACTCTGCCTCCACGAGCACCCAAGTTTGTGGCACACAGATGCACATGGCCTGGGACTGGGGGAAGGCCTCACCATTTCCGCAACTCACCTGCATCCGACAGACCCTCCAAGCACCAGCCTCTACAAATTGCGCGCGAGGCAATTGGCTGAGGAAGCGGTCCAGGAATTGCGCCCAGGGATGTGAGCGAGCACAACACCCGGACTGACATCCAGGGAGAATCGCACCGCTACTGCCGAGCACCGCATAACCCACACAAGCGGACGCTGGCTATTAGCTATTTTTAGATGCTGCACACCATGTTGCGCATCCAACGACACCTCACAACACCTCAGTATCTATATCTTTATTTCAGATAGATATAAATAAGTTAGTTCTGCTCTCCCTGGGGCCCCCCAATACAGCGAAGCATGTGTCCCCTAAGGTGGCAACTAGCTTGTCAATTTCAGCTACCGCAGTAGTATCGTAACTGTTCATTCCTGTTTTTAATAATCTTCATAATCTCTATCTGCACAGTTGAGCAGGCATATCTGTTGAATGTCACAAGCTTCTAGACCCCAATATGTCCCACCACAGACATACTACTTTTGCTTGCGCACAGCCTGTGTCTTGCCTAACATGTCTACCCTACTATACATTTCACGTGACAAGCTCAGATTACGTAATCGTTACTTACTCTCACGTAAAAGCTAATCCTAGCCTCTGTTAATCAGTTCATATATTACTCTACAATAATTATTCCTACCAATCTAACTAGATAACACGATGTCTTTCAAAACATAAAGCAGACACTCATGTGAGAATGTATCAGTGTTATTGTTTACTGTATAGGTGTGCATTTTTGCTAATATACTTCTCTTCTCTATACTTCTCTTTTTCTTCCTTTCTGTAACACTCACCTTGCTTCAATAAAACAAAGATTTTAAAAAAAAAATCTAAGTTTGTCTACATCTTTATCTAATACTGCAGTCAAAATGAGACATCTCTAACTGAAAAGGACAAAAAAGAATATATCAGAACGCTAAACCATAACTGTAATGGTTTAAAAAAATAAAATAAAAAAATAGAGTTCTCTCATGGGCTGCTCAGGGCCAGAGCATCCCTCTTTGTCTATTGGACCAAATGTGTTCATATACCTCTAGGGTGCCTGTTATCGTATGCAATATTTTTTCGTACTGCTGTGTCCAGTTTACCCTCTTGATAACTAGTGCTAGCTCTGTTTTTTTGGTCGATTACCACAGGGTGGCTATGCAGTATTTCGCTGCTAGTGTGAAGTGGATGGTTAGTGCCGCATCATATTTTGAGAGCGTTTTGGGTAGCATATGGAGCATATAGCTCTCTGGTAGGAGTTTCCCTATACTCTTTTCTACTAACCGTTGAATTTGACGCCAGAAGGCGGTGCGTTCTGGGCAGTGCCAGAAAACATGGCTCAGATTGCCTACGTGTTGGCAGCAACACCAGCAAGTTTGCTGTGCACCTGGGTATATATTGGCTAAACGCTGGGGGGGTGAGGTACCATCTCATCCACAATTTTTAAGCTGCCTCTATGTGACCTATACAGTGTGTGGCTTTTTTCACCTGCATCATTGCTGCAAGACACCTGCTTGGCTCAATTTCACATCCAAGCTCCCTCTTTCTCTAAACCACGTAGCCCAGTTTGACAGATCTGTATCTCTAATGAATCAAGAAAAAAAAAAAAATAGATTGAGCCTTTAGGTGCAACACTTATTGGGGTAGAATGCAGAAAAATGGGGGATAATCCCTAAATAGTGAATTACAATTTTCAGAAAAACCAAAACAAAAAGGATGCATTTCTACCTACATAGTGTTAAATGTCTTAAATGAGAAGGATGTAAAATATAACTTAATATGTTATTTAAAATATTGAGAAATAGAAAAATAGTAAAAATAAAAACAATATAGGAGGGCTCCACCGCATATAAGGCGAGTACCAGGCCCTGGATTCTGTCGGTAGTCATGAGTGCTAGTATGTCCAGTGCCCGTCTGGTGTTATCGTCCACCTGGCGACCTGGAACAAAGCCCGCCTGTTATGGGGAAAAAAGCTCAGAGAGCAGGTGGACTATTCTATTAGCTAGGACCTTAGCAAACAACTTTGTGTCTGCATTCAGTAACGAAGTTGGGCAATAGTTTGAGCAGGAGACTGCGGACTTGCCTGGCTTTGGGAACGTGACAATAGTGGCTTCTAACTTTTCGGGCGGTACATGGCCTGTCCCCAGGATATGGTTAAACAGGGCTGTCATGTGCGATTAGTTGGTCCTCAAACACATTATAATAGTAGGTGGAGAAGCCGTCAGGGCCCAGGGCTTTGTGCCTTGGTGTATCTTTTAATGCCTTGGAAACTTCATCCATAGTGATTGGTCTGTCTACTGATGCGGCTTGGTCACTGGAGAGCTGGGGAAGCCCCACCCCATCTAGGAAATAAAGTATTTCGGGTTGCGTTGGTTGGTGCTGAGAGGGGTCAAAGGAGAGGTTGTACAGCGCTTCATAGAATGCCGCAAACTCATCCACCATCATTTTAGGGCTAATCTGTTTTGAACCAGTCCCGTCCAGTAGGTAGGGTATCTTCATGTGAGAGGTTCTCTCTTTTAATTGATAGGCCAGGAGTTTTCCTGCTCTATTCCCCTGTCTATAATAATGTGTTTTTAACTTACAGATCACTCTCTCCACCTGTTGCAGGTCCTCTGCCACCATTAGGTTTTTAATGAGTTTGGTGTTTTTTCGGCAATTTGTACCGTGTTTAATCAATAAGCCCCACACAACTGCCTTATGGGCAAGCCATGTCGTGGGTAGATACTGTCAGTATACTGGTTATCCAAAAAGAAATTGACAAGGATCCTTCTCACCTCCCCTGCTTGGTCATTGTGGTGTATAAGCGACTCATTGAGTCACCATGTTCCTCGTCTCCTGGTTAGGTGAAGCGTAGTGAAAGTGGTTAAGAGGGGGGCGTGATTTGACCAGGTAATAGGAGCGATAGCAACCTTTTCAATGTATCTAAAGTTTTCGCGTCTACCAAGCACATGTCTGTGCGGGAGTATTGGCCATGAACCTTTCATAAACTCTTTAGTGAAAAGAACACTGAGGATAAATGGAACATCTTCCAACAAATATTTGAAAGGTACATTTCTCAGTATAGTAGATAAAGACACAAGGATTGGCGCTCGCTATAGTGATATATGTAATAGGAGTGGGCAGCACAAGGATTCCCAACCTTGTAATAGAACAATTGTGAACAAGAAAACAAAAGGAAACTGCGCCCTTAATATGATACAAGTGTACGTACTCAAGCCCTTATGGTTGTCGTTTTTAAATAAACCTCAAAGAGAAAATATACAGAGTAATAGTGTATAATAATTCCTGGTTGTCATCTTATCTTATGATGGGGATTATACCACCTATGCTTTACAAACTAGAGCGAGGAATGCTCTAGTACATGTGAGTACGCTACCTTACATTTATTTATTATCCTTAAGGTATTATTACATACTACACTATAAGGATTTCTATGTTTCTCCATGTGCTTTTTGTTTGAGGATGCCAAGAGGTTGACTACTTCAAACTAATCCAGAGACGGGGATAATTCCGTCTAGGCGCAATAACAGTAGAGCTCTGTAGTAGCTCTGTTAAATGTGAGTGAGCATTTATCTTTTTGTTCTTTACCATTCGAAGTATTTACAGTATTACACTATTACTCTGTATATTTTCTCTTTGAGGTTTATTGAAAAACTACGACCATAAGGACTTGAGTACGTACACTTGTATCGTATTAAGGGCGCGGTTTCCTTTTGTGTTCTTGTTCACATTTCTCAGTATGTACCATTGGGTAATAAATATAAAAGAAATTAAAACCAATGTGGCTTAGTAGAGAAGTAAAACAAGAGATTTAAATGCTTTAAATGCCCTTTTCTTATTTTTAATCGGACAAATCAGATGCATCCTATAAAAGATATAAGGAAGCCAATAATGCGTGCATAAAGGCGATTAGATTTGCTAAACTTCAAAATGAAAAATGATAGCCAAAGAGAGCAAAACCAACCCCAAATCATTCTTTAAGTACATAAATTCTAAAAAAAAAAAAAAATTAAAGTGTGGGTACACTAAAAACTGAAATGTTGTGTTACTTAATGAAGACTAGGAAAAGGCAGACATTTTAAATAACTTTCTCCTCCGTATATATTAAGTAAGAACCCATGGCAATAGATGTGCAAATGATTACTACTAAAAACTTGTAGAATAATTGTAATTGGTTAACTCAAGACAAGGTGCTGCAGCAACTAAATACAGTTAATATAAACAAAGCTCCAGGGCCTGACAGTATCCATCCATGAGTACTTAAGGAACTAAGTGTAGAAATAAGCAAACCTCTGTTTTTAATCTTTCAAGATTATTTTCTTTCAGGAAGTGTTCTGGAGGATTGGAGGAAGGTAGATGTGGTTCCTATATTCAAAAAGGGTTCAAAGTCCTTGCCTGGAAATTATAGACCTATGAGCTTAACTTCAGTGGCTGGGAAAATATTTGAAAGGATATTAAGGGACAATATTCAAGAATTCCTTGAGAAGAACATGGTTATCAGCAAAAATCGGCACGGTTTTATGAAGCACAGGTCATGTCAAACTAACTTGACTGCGTTCTACAAAGAAGTAAGTAGAAATATAGATCAGGGTGTTGCAGTGGATGTGATCTATTTGGATTTTGCCAAGGCATTTGATACAGTTCCATACAAAAGATTAGTGTTCAAGGAAATCAGTCTAGATGAAAATGCTTGTTCTTGAGTAGAACATTGGCTTAAAAATAGAGTACGTATATCACAAACAATGTAACAGAAATAACATGTAAGCTGCCTGAATGATATCGCGGCTTCTGCGCAAGCCACAAAATTGCATTGCATAATTATATCTGTCATTGACAAAATAAAGAATTATAAAAAAAAAAAAAAATAGAGTACAAAGAGTTGTCATTAATGGTAAATTTTCAAGCTGGACAGAGGTGGCAAGTGGTGTCCCTCGGGGTTCTGTTCTGGGACCCCTTCTATTTAACATGTTTATGATCTTGAAAAAAGCATTGAAAGTCATGTTTCAGTGTTTGCAGATGACACAAAACTCAGTAAAATAATACAATGTGAGCAAAATATTACTTTGCTGCAGAGGGATTTAGATAGACTGGGCACTCAAATGGCAGATGAAATTTAAAGTTAAAAAATGCAAAGTTATGCACTTCGACGTAAAGAATACACATGCAACGTATATCCTTAATGGAAGCGATAACCACACACGAAAAGGACTTGGGAATTGTTATAGACAACAAACTATGCAACAATGTGCAATGTCAATCGGCAGTGGCTAAGGCCTGTAAGGTATTGTCATGCACCTGTTCTAAAGAAGGATATTATGGCACTAGAAAAAGTGCAGAGGCGGTCTCCAATACAAACCATTGTTTGGAAATCTATTCACAAACCGGACACGAGGTCATGCGTTTAGACTGGAAGAAAGAAGATTTCGTCTAAGGCAAAGGAAAGGTTTTTTTTTTTACTGTAAGAACAATAAGGATGTGGAATTATCTGCCTGAAGAAGTGGTTTAATCAGAGTCCATACAGATGTTCAAACAGGTACTAGATGCATACTTGCAAAAACAGAATATTCAAGGATATAATCTTTCAATGTAGGATAATAACTGCTTGATCCAAGGATAAATCCGACTGCCATTCTGGAGTCAAGAAGGAATTTTTTTACTAGCTTGTTGCAAAATTGGAAGTGCTTCAAACTGTTTTTTTTTTTTTGCCTTCTTTTGGATCAACAGCAAAAAACAAATGTCAGAAAGACTGAACTTGATGGACGCAAGTCTCTTATCAGCTATGTAACTATGTAATAGAAGATGTAGTAATTAACGGCTGGATACAGTGAACGCCATGTGTCATGTAAGCCATGAGAGTGCAGAAGAGTGGACAGTTTAGCGCTAAGGGATATGGAACGGGGGTGGGAGACTGGGATTCCGGACTTGTCGAGGTCAGGGTCTAACACACAATTAAAATCACAAACAAGCATTTGGCCCTGTTTCATCTTGTCGAGTTTGTTCAGTGCTTTCCTAATAAAGGTATATTAGTTGGTATTGGGAGCATACAGGTTGGCTATAGTCACCGGGGTATCACTGAGTAATCCCACCAATATTAGGAGTCTGCGATCAACACTTTTGTACTCCTACTCACATTGAAAGGTCCACGCCGAGTGAAACAGTATACTAACTACCCCGATTTTATTAGGCACTAATGCGTGATAGGTTAATGGGCATCTGCCTGAGGAAAATGTCAGAAGTTTAAGACGGAGAAATGTGTCTCCTGAATGCAAGCAATAGAGGCGTGCGATGTATGCAGCTGTGAGAAGGCGAGCCTGCGCTTCTGCTGGGTATTTAGGCCGTGGGCTTTCAGGGATAGTACATTAAAACGATGAGGGGAAGTCGTCTGTTAAGGCCGGGGGGACCCTGGGGCATTCCCAGGCATCATCAACCTTCCCGACTCCCTCTCCGCAACAGTTTTGGGGGACAAGTCTCTAGTGTTCCCTGGTAAGCATCTCATATAGAACAAAGGGACATAAGAAAAAACAAAAACTAAACAAAGGTATATCCATTTCAAAAAGCATTGCAGCATTATGTAGAGTCCAGCCATCACGTGCATAACGTGTGGTGCCTCAGCCTGTCTCATTGGGGAGAGGTGATCAGAGTGGTGGCCTATGTAGATGAAACGGAATATGATCACATATGTCAGAGGGAGTTACTGCACAGTAAAATAGAAGGTCCACTGTCAGTAGGCAAGGGTAGCCTCTCAGGAAGTGAGGTAAGTCACCAGGTGCACGTCCCGGTGTCACCAACAGGGGCTGTGGCTCAGGACAAGAGCATACTGGCCTTAGCATATTGGATATAGTAAGATGTAATGGGACGGCCAAGATTTCACAGCTAGGGGGAAAACCATGGTATCTGTGGTGGAGTATATGAGCCGAGATAGTGGTTGGCCTAGCGTGGTAAGCAGTCCTTGTTAGATGAGCAAAGCTAGGCAGCCGTATCATTTTAGCTTCTGGACTTTTGTAGGGTTAGTGGTTCCCATCTTCTCCGTGAAGAGTCCCCGTGCTCTCAGCGTATCCATGCCTTGTTCTGGGTCGTCCAGTTTTTTTAAGGGATTTATTGCGCCAAATTGACATTTTTGTGGGGAAGCCCCAACTGTAAGGTAGCTTGTTGCTGCGGAGGAACTTGGTAATATTGCTAAAGTCCTTCCTTCTGGACATCGTCATGGTGGATAGGTCAGCATATAGGGACACCCCAGTATAGGTGGGTGGCATCATTGTGGCTTTCCTCTGTGCGGTCAGTATGCATCTTTGGAGCTATAGTAGTCTGGTAATGATATCTCTGGGAAAAAAAACAGAGTTTAAGAGTTGTTTTGGGCGCTTCCAGAAGTGAATAGGGTGTGTATACACACAGGTG